GGCTTGTATTGGAGAGGGGGTTGTGGGAGAGGCTTTTGAGAAGGTAATGTTCAGAAACTCCTTCTCTCGCTCGTGTGTATCTATACATATATATGTATTACTAGGTAAAATAAATGATTACAATAAACAAATCTAGCCACGAAAAGTTGAAAAGTCATAGTGGAATATTTTCTCTTTCGACTTTTACATTGGTAATTAAATATTGGCTATAATTAATTTATGGTAATTATAGTAGTTGAGTCTTACATCGTATGGTTTATTCCTCGATTTTAATTTATCAGTTGGATTACAAATTCTATAGATAGTGGTTTGATAAGCTTGAGGAAGATTTCATGTGTTATTCAACGTTGAAAAAAAAAAAAGAAAAAGATAATGTTTTGTTGGTGAAAAAACTAAAGACATAGTGTTAAACAAAACCTAGCATGCCTGCCAATTCAGCATATGTATTCCATACGGAAAAGAGTATTCCATTTTGTATTACAATCTAAACATACAGAAAAGAGTCAAAAGTTGCAATGTCAACCTCTCATTTATTCTTTAATGTATTGTTTTTGTTTTGTTTATCTTTTGTGAGTCTTTTTTTCTTCTTCAAACTTCTATACAGTTTATTTTTTCTTTTTTCCCTTTTTTTAAGATATTTTTCTTCTTTTCTTTTACATATTGTCTTTTTTCCCCTAATATTGGTTCACAGTTCATTTTTTACAATATTTTTCTTTGAAATAGTTTCTTTTCTCACTTTATTTTAATTAAAACAAATCTTTTCAAATATCTCCTTATTTAAGTAACTTTAATTACTTTTTAATGTGATTTTTTGAGATATTTGTTTTCCTGTTGTTCGAATTAATGGACTTAGTTTTTAAAGAAACTACATATTTTAATGCGGGATTGAACTTATAAAATTACTCCCCACGTACATATAACATGTGATTCAACTAGTAACCTAAAAGTAAAAACTATTGAATATATCTAACACGTTCACACTTGACATAGAACTCATCAGAAAAAAAAAAAAAATTAAATAAAAAAAACAGAAAGATATAAACGTCACCTTTGACTTAGGCAACCTTTAAGACGGCTATACAACTACAGGTCAAAACCACGAAATCCTCTTATCACGTGGCAACGAGCAAATACATTTGCAATAAAATTCATTAATCAACTCTCCTTTTAATCTATCAGACTTTTAGCACCTTTCAACCACTAGTACAATCTAATTTATGTCAGGCTAGGAACTTAATTTAAAAAGCATATTTTGTAATTTTATTTATGAGAGCATGGATATCCTCAAATAGGTTCAAGTTCCAATGTTGTCCCAGGTCAAGGTGGTTTTGGTAGTATGACATTCTTTTTACAATCCTTCACTCCAAATTAAGGTCACGACACCTAACTATATGCAAGTCCAAACTATACAATTTATTGATGATCGATTAATATGAAGAGATCAATCGAAATACATATCACAAGTTCATATAACTACGTACTAATAATTCAAGCATAAGTTATAATGGCACCAATGTGATTTTTTATTTTTTATTTTTTTATTTTTTACATTTATATTCCTTTTATATGTTCATTATACTATTGACAGTGCTGGAGCTGTATTGGGCCTAATGGGGTAGCTCCTTTATATTATAACCTTAAAAAAAAAAATTTAGTTTTCTTTTTTACTTACACTTAAGTTTTTGAAAAAATTTCAATTGTACCACTAACTTCTAACTTTTGAATTTTAATATACATATATTTCAAATTTAAAATACCAACTAAACTAAGAATCAACCATAAAATTATATTAATTCATAATTTTTTGAACCATAAAGTACTTCAATAATTTAATTAAACTTGATTAAAATAATTATAATGAAGTTTAAGTTTAATTCACGCCCCCACTAAACAAATTTTCTGATTCTGCAACTGTATTGATGATATTCATAATATACATGTACGTCATTGTATTGAAAAAAAAAAAAAAAGAAGCTTAATCTTTTAGAAGTGCACGCAAATTTTTTTTCTTATTCTTTTAGAATCAATTACTTAATTATTTTGATATTTTAGTAATACATTATTTATTATAGTGATCTTTATATTGTTACGAGATTTACAACTATAATATTTACTTTGAGTACCTCTATTACAGAAAACAACACTAAACATACAAATATAGTGCTTGGAAGACTGCTTAGATTTGTCTTCAAAATCAATAATTATTATCAAACACATGACCAAAAAAAACCTAGTTTTCCTTTGTTTCTACGTTATGCCCAAAGTTGAATAATGATAAACATAATATGTTTAACCCTTCACACTTAAATAGTTAATAGGAAAAAAAATTTGTAAGTAATTATAATTTTGATTTTTACTAATCACTATAACTGAAAAAAAAAGAGTAAGAAACTGTTTTCTATTAACAAGTTGTATTGTTAAAAATGTCTGCTTGATTCATGGTATAAGAAACGCTCAAGTAGTAGTGCATACTTGAATACTTATAACAATGGTTTCCCTTATAAATTCGTATCAAATATTTTTATATGTATAGAGATTAGTTAATCTATATTCTTACAGATACAAAAGGATAAAAGGAAATGAGTTGATCTTCCAAACATAATATGCACGAATAGAAAAAAGGAGATCTTTTCACTGAATAAAAACCTTTTTAATTAGTGCTTAAAACTAACAGTTTGCTTTACACTACAAGAAAACGGGCTATTAGCGACGATAAAAAGTCGTTGCAACAAATGCAAAGTCGTCGCAAATGAAGTTTTAATGACCACTTGTCGTCGCAAAATTGTCGCCACAATTGATTCGTCGTAAAAATAATTTTTGTGACGACAAGTAGTCGGCGCAATTATATTTGCGATGACAATCGTCACAAATGAGTCACTGCAATTATTTCGTCAGTTACATCGTTAAGATGACATGACATTAAGTTTTTACAATTACTTTTTTTGAATTAAGTCATCGCAAAAGATGCAGATTTAGCTGACGTGGCTTATAGTTTTTACGAACACTTTTGTCGTCGCAAATAAGATTTAAAATTTTTTATTTATTTTTATTATTTTACTAATTAATGTTGTATATTACCATATATTTAAACCCAATATTAAATATAATTCATGATATTATAATAATAAAAAAGAATTAAATAAAAAGAAATAAATAATAAAAAATAGAAATAAAAATTATTATTGTAAAAAGTAAATAATAAAAAAAAATAAAAATGTAATTATAGTAGAAATGTGCGGAAATATAAATTGTTACATTCATAAAAATCTAATCTCCTAAATTAGCAGCATCACTGAATCATCGTCATTATCATCAGAAGGATTCGGAGGCGGATGACTTGGACAGACATACGACACAAGACGAGTAACTGCTGGGAAAGTCATGTTTGGGTGCATATGAGTGATGAAATCCTGCATAATTCTGATGCTCTCGTACAGTTGGAGGTTTTGCTGGTAACTCTGTTGCAAGTATTCTTCTACGTGTGGGTCAGAACGTGTTGTAGAAGATCTTGCCGAACGTGAGCCAGATGACGACGCATCCCCTCGATAAATATTTTGTGGGAGTATGGGACCCACTCCAGTCTTGTGTCCTCTGCTGGTGCCCAGAAATTGCTCCATAATATCCTCCTCATTAACTATTCCAGCTGCGGATGATCCAGAAGTAGTAGACTGCTTCTGGATCTACGTTTCTCTTTCTCCCTCGATCCGATGGTACAAATATTATAAGAAAAATTATTAAATACATAATGCGATTTAAATAAAGAAATATAATTAAACATTATGAGTATACTTACAAAAGTCTGCTCAGCTTGGAGATTAACCCAAGTATCCCCACGATGATGCATGTCCCCCCAGTTATCGATGACGGACATTGACTGTTGAGTCCCTGTGGTAGAGTGTATAGTAGTTTAAATGTATATGAATATAGTGTAATCGATTACCAAATTAACATTTATATTGAATAAATTATTAACAAATACTTACTTTCTTCTCGCAGTGTTGGGAGTACGATGGCCGACCATGAAAACTCGACCACTTTTGGTTGCTACGATTAAGTTTATTGATCCCCGAATTTTTCTATTTATAATTACATTCAACATTTGTAAAATTAACCTTTATCAGTAAAATTATCCTTTATTATATATAATAAAATAACATATAAAAGAGATTCAATTACCTAAAACTTGTCAGACATGAATCTATTGCAGCAACGACGGTGAGAAAAAACTCCAATTTTTTGGATTTTGTTGCGATATTTTTCAGTACAAATGAAGGATTTGTAGAGAGAATGAAGTATTTAAGCTTTTTTTGGAGGTTTTGGATGGTATGTGGTGGTTTTGGATGGAGAGGAAGGAAGAAAACGGAGAGACGTCGCTGAAAAAATGGAGAAAACTAATCTGCAATCGCTGACGACAATGTCTTAAAAAAAAATTTTAAATTGCCATCGCAATTGTAACAAAATGACATCGTTCTTCTTCACCTCATTAATGTTTCTGAGAATATTTTTGAAGAATATACCTGCCGCTCATTTTTGCGACGACTTTGATAAGATGTTATCGCAAATAACTTTAAGGAAACCACCAAAGTTTCCGCCTTTTTTTAGGGAAAATTAAATTCCCACTTATTAGTGACGACATTATTAAACAACTTGTCACAAAAAATAGTCATACTTGATAGAATTTTCTGGAACCATTTTTTGTGACGACTTTTCAATATGTCATCATAAAAAATAAAGAACTATCTGGAACCTTTACGCTGGAAACCACCAAAATTTTTGCCTCTTTTTGACCACGTCACCGCCAGTTATACGTATCAATATTTGCGACGACATGCGTCGCAAATAGTGGACAAACTGGCACCAAAATTGTTGCCGTCAGATTGATTTTGGTGCCAATGGCTATTAGCAGCGACATGTCGGTGCGAATAATTTGTGAAATTTTAGCGACGATAAGTCGTCGCAAATAGTGAAATTTTGTGCAATGACATGTCGTCGCAAATATGGAATGCGACAACAAGTCGTTCAAAAATTTTGTTTTATTTTTAGCGATGACATGTCGTCGCTAATACTATAATTTTAGCAACGATAAATGTCGCTAATAATATCGTCGCTAATAACTCTTTTTGTTGTAGTGTTAACTGGCTACAACAGGTCATATAACGGTGCGTCATGTCATCAATTGAAAATAAGTTATAAGTTTTTTTTTTTATTATAATTTGATCAGTCACCACAGATTAAAAGATAATCATTAAAAACTTATCTATATATATAGATAAATATTAGTGTACATAACTCTCTTTATCCTGATCACAGTTTAAAGAAGAAACGACCAAATTTGCACAAAAGGAGTAAGGTGCAACTCCCTCCCCAGTTTTATAGTGTGAAATAAAAGAGATTATAATTTGTGCAAATTTGTTATATGAAAGGAAATAAGAGCATCTCCAACAAAAGAAGCTTCCAAAGGAATTGATAAAAATTTGCACTCTCCTCCTGCATATATAATAAAGTCAAACTTTTGTCAATATCAATAATTTACTACTCACTAAAAGACAACTCATACTTGAGTATAAGCAGCATATTACTACCTTGGTATAATTTGTTTTGTCCAACTTCCTGGCCTGCAAGCACAAAAGAAAATAAGATGTGAGAAAGTTTTGTTTTTACCTATACTTCTATTTTTTTACTTCATTTTCCACATGACAAACCTGAAAAAGTAACAGTAAAGCCAAGGTTGAGTGAACGGGCAACATTAAGGAACGCTTAAAAACCTGTAAGCAAGAAATGAGGAAAAAAAAACTTCAATTTTATTATTCATATAAACAAAGGATCAGAAAAAAATTTATTTAAAATCTTTTTTTAGAGGTAAGTAAAAAAAGAATTAAAGTTACCTGAGGCATATAAATAGCTGCCCCTATAGTAGCAATATAGTTTATCACCAATATACCAGTACCAAGGATTGTAATATTTCTAGCTCCAAAAATCGCCGCAAATGTTCGAATATTATTCCTATAATATTGTTAAATATTGTGTAGTCAAAGATACATGCTAAAAAATGTTGAAGAGGACCGAAATTTAGAAGTATAATATTTGAGTTCAGTATATTTAACAACACGTAAAATTACAACGTACTTCATATCACCTTCCACATCAGGAATATCTTTTATGATGCATATGACCACAAAAAACATTACAGCAAAGGTAGTGATGAAAACAATCGGAGGGCTGTAGAGCAAATCAAGATTGCGCGTTATGAGATTTCTATAGAACGATTAATTATTTGAGCTGAAATATTAGAAATTATATATTCTTATAAGTAGTTAATAGTAATATTAAATTGCAAGCTGTTAAATAAAATACTATAATAGTCTTAAAAAAAATATATGTGTGTGTACCTCCACCAAAATGGAAGTCCAAGGGAAACTCTTGTGGCGTAAAGTATACCTATACAATTAGTGATACTGATCTGCACACATATATATGTGTGTGTCAAAGAGAGAGTATAAATAGAAATAGAAATTTGAAAGGGAAAAAAAAAACACGTATTACTTTCACAAAAAATGTTACTCCACTTCTATATGCATATAATATACAACACAACTTAGTAAACGTTAAATGCTTTTATTTATTAATTTGATCCCAACTTAACAACTTGAAGGCATTTTTTTCATGCCATTTCTTTTAACTTTTTAGAGGAACACTAGGTTTTTGAGTGCCCGAATAAAATTACAAATGAAAACAGAACTTATAAATTACAAGAGGTAGAGAATTGAAGAAATACCAAAGGAATCACAATAGCCGTTGCAATAGAAGATCCCTTGAATCTGAAGGGGGGAGCAGAATATAAGGTGGCTAGTAGAAGACCAAAACAATAGAGAGAAGTGGTGATTCGGTCGGCCTTCATCAATTGAAAAATTGACAAGCCAGTAAGTACAGAAAATATCATTAGGAACCATGCTTGTTTTAGTGAAAGTTCTCCAGATGGTATCGGTAAATACGGTTTATTTATCCTGAAAATACAACACAAAAAAAAGTAGATTAAGACTTATTTATCGTAGTTCTTTAATAATGCCTGACATGCATATACTCTAATAATATTTGACTTTTAAACATACTTATATTTTTAAGACTTAAAATCCTAATTAAAGGAAAAAGCAACTACAGATGATACAACTTCATAATTTTGAGACTTAAAACTTTAAAAATGAATTGAACTCATATGAAAGAAAAAAAATGTTGCAATTAAACGAAGATACAAGAGAGAGAAGAGTTATAAAAAACTAATTAGTGGTGTGGTTCTTTCAACTATTACTTTTGATTCAGACGCAATTTAACATATTGGTTCCAATATAATCGTGAAAATATGTTGATATTACATAGGTGAAAAGCATACCTATCAATATCGACGTCGAAAATCTGATTGATGCCATTATAATATGCGTGTGCAAGTATGATAGCAATTAAGCCCGGGAATGCCTTAAACAACAGCGACCATTTAAACAATTGTTTGTTCTCAACAAACACTCTTGCAAACAAACAACTGCCAAAAAAAAAAAAAAAACCAAAGGAAAAGAAAAGATTGCATGAATTTGAAGGAAGAAAAAAAAGAAAAAAACTGAGAAAGAGAGGTTAATTTTTGCATTGCAAATTGGTATTTATTTTTTTCACTTACATGGTCGATATAATTGCTTGACGCATTGCATACGGCCTTGCAAATTTATAGCAAGTAGATCCAAAACGTAAAACTTTGGCAAACACTGGATCAGAACCAGAAGATTCAACTTGAGAGCATGCCTAGAAACATTATTATAGTTTTGATTTATAATTAGAAATATTTAAGATTAATTTGACCAACTAACAAAGTCAAATCATATAAATAGGAGTAATTAGTACATGCGTAAATAATGAAAAATGCTTTAATTGCCGCCCTGCAAAGAAGCCCCTCAGCATGCAACCTCCTATTTTAATTTAATTTCAAATCTTTGATGTTGTTGCTGTTTTGTTATTAAATATAGTATCTTTCTCATTTTCTTTCTTGTACCCGAAGAAGCAAAATAAAAATTTTCCAAAGGGATCCCATACTTGCTTCATTATGGATGAAGTTAAATGCAGGTAAACATTACTCAATGAATCAAGATCTGCCATCTCATTTTCTTGGCTCGTTAGCTGTCCCTTCAATTAAATTTTGACACCTCATGGATTGCTTAATTTTTTTTAATATTCACTTCCTATTCATGTGGTGAGATTGCTAAATTTAGATAACATGACAAAAAAATAGTGAAAGAATACAGCCAAAGAGATAGGAAAATGTTGACAACAGATCCAAACTCATATGCAATACATGAGGATGTTAATGATTCACAAAATTTGCATTATTTCCATTACTAAGCCGATATCCAATGTAAATGTCAATGTCAATTGTATAAATTGACAACAAAAAGTAGAATTAGGATATATTTGACACGCATTTCTGCAATGCATACTGCTATTTCAAATGTTAAATCTACTTTTTATCATAATAATTAAACTTCACAAGTTGTAAAAGTAAACTTTTTAATTTTAAAATAATTTGGAAATGTAAACATTGCAATGATTAAATGAAAACGTAAATATATCAACCAATAGGAATCAAATGTCAAATTTTCTATATGTTAAACTTGGTGGCAAATTTACTACAAAGTATAGCATATTAAAACTTTGGTACAACAAATAGCAATGCATTAGATTGCGTTTTTTTTTTCACATTTGAAAATAAATTTGCCATTGATACATCAGTTATAGCATTGTATTAGAGTTGCTCTAAATATTAACTCATCATGCCATAAAAAACTAATACTACAACAAAAGAGTCATTTAGTGAAAACATATATAGACAACTCGCCGCTATCAATAGACTTTTACTGACGACATGCCATCGCTAAAAGCTTTTGTGTATGAATGTTCTGGAATAGGTTGTGTGATCCACTTTTCGCGACGACTTATCATCGCTAAAAGTCTTGCATGGTGAATTGACTTTGTAGCAACGATAATTGTCGTTGCTAAATGTTTGCCGTGAAATTTGGTGGCGAAAACTATTAGTTGCTGCCTACAAAAATGTTTTAGTGACGACACATGTCGTCGCTACATGTCTAAAGTCATCGCTAATAAAGAATTAGCCAAATCATGATCCCTCTTCTTCCTATCTCTCTCTCTCTCTCTCAGTTCCCTCTCTGATCGAGGCCCACCCACGCCCCTGGTGTCCCCGGTCAGCCGTCTTCTCACTCTTTGTTTCTCTCTATGTCTCTCGAGCATCTTCCTTCTCTCTCTCTCTAAACCGAGCGCCGCCCAAACATACTGTAGACACTAGGATTCTTTTCGTCGTCGACGCATGCCTAAACCACACTTTACTTCTACTGTCGTTGCTCCTCCATCACTCCTTCATCGCCACTCTGCTGCCCCCAAAGCCATAGACTCAAATCACTCCTTTTGTGGTGGTTTTACATAAGGATTTTATTTTTAAAAATTTAATATTTATTTTGAAATTAGTATTGGTTTTGTTTGAATATATTAGTTTAGGTTGATCATGGTGTTTGGTTGTGTTTGGTTAAGAATTTGATGGTATTTGATATTGTTGAATATGTTAATTCAGGTGTGTGTTGTTAATTTATTTAATTTGTTAGTTTGGTTGATTTGGTTAGTTTAGATGTTTAAATGTGATGATGAAAATGTTTTAACAATAGAGTTGTAGCGATGACTTACCGTCGCTAATGTTGTTTTAGAGACGATATCCTGATTTTTAGCGATGACAATTGTGGTCGCTAAAAGGCCTATTTCTTGTAGTTTTTATAAGAGTCACTCCCATAATAAACAAAATATGGATGATATTTAATGAGGAAGTGCTATTTCACATTTTTTGTGTTTTAATCATGTGTATATTCTATGTTCTATTAGCATATTATTTTTTTTGTGTTTGAATCATGTGCATTTTCTATCTTGTTTTTAACACACAACTGATAAGAATTACTAAATTAAATCAAACTAATAGGTCAGGGATGGAGTTTGGGGCATTTTAATTAAAAAAAAAAACAAAAACTAAAGTGGAATTGGCAGCATAAAGTGAAATTGACAGCATAAATCAGGGACCGTTTTGTGAGAAGCAAAAAATAAAAAATAAAAAATACTTGAAAGCTTCGTAATCATAACGTTAGTACCAAAGAAAAGAAGTATACCCGGCAGAAGGAATTACGTTTATTTTGGCCGAGTAGAAAGGATTTTGAGAACCTACTTTCCTCGTACAGTCCCACTGGCAAGATCAATTGATTGGCGGAGCATTTTAAAAGAAAGTTGGCGGATTTGATATCTTTAGGTGTGGACTTAAACATTGGCATCAATCTATTTTGGTGAGAAGAGGCTTTGCAACGTAGAGAGATAATAGTTGCTACTCTAAAGGAAGAGTGAGAGATTGTGAGCTCCATATATGTTAACTGAAATAATATCAGGAAAAGTGGATAAAAGAGAACAAAACGAGTTGAAAACAAATGCTTCATGAACTGCATAAATATTTATAGAAGCATGCAAAGTATACGATTCTTCTATGATTATAATAACTGAAAAGTCATTTTCACTACTTTAAACAAGACAAGTAACAAGTAGCATAAATCAAGACAAGAAACATAATCAAAAAATCAGCAATTGCCAAATATATAGTATAATAATTATTACTATAAGAAAAGTAATGAAAGCAACAATAATGTTTTTAATTGACTATGCAAAATGGCTAAAGCGTGAGGGAAAACATCGGTCTGCTCCTAATATTCTCGATGTTCAACGGTTCCCCTCTTTGTCTGATTGGACAAAGAATAATAATGATGGTGCTGTTAATGGTAGTCTGGACTCTTCTGTTTGTGGTGGCATTTTTTTGGCTCGCAGGGGCTTCTGTGTGACAGTCATGATTTCCTTAGAGAAAAAAGGGCCAAGATAAGATAAATTGTGGAGTGTTACATCTTATAAGAAAAGACACCACCTCTCAATTATATGAGACCACAAAATCATGCAGATTTAAACCAAAAGCGGACATTATCATACAAGTAGAGGTATTGGTCGTTAAATCTTCAAAGCATGCTTCTCTCTTCCGTTAGGAATTGCTTATCTTCTGTAGGAGGAATTATTAGGAGTTATTGATGCTACTTTTTTCACCAAATTAAACTGTGGCTTTGAAACAAGCTATGATTTGAATGTGATTCTTCTAACATGGTTGAGCTACTTCGGGAATGCAATAAAACATGTTTTTATAATTTCCATTGTACAACGATACACTATTGTAATTTCATTTTTAATTTTCTTTTTAATAAATTTTGAGCAGGATGAGAGAAGAGAACTATCTAGGAGTGTAATCTAGTTGGGATGTAGTGTACTAATAGCCTACTCTCACACTAGTGGACCTATTGTACTTGATACTAATAGCCTTCTCTCTTCTCTATCTAAAAAATCCAACATAGTTAATAGGATTATCTCACACTAGTGGACCTCACTCTCCTAGATGCCACAAACTCTTGAGCTTACTAGTATTTGACAAAAAGTAAACTTTATTTTTTTTTTGACAAAAAAAGGACAACTACAATCCCCTACTTTGAAAATGGGGACAAGTCTCCCATGTACCATCATAATCGGCTCATGTGCTATCGTATCTTGCTGAAACACTAGCGTAATTCTCTTACACTGAGTCATAACAGTTATTATATTGGAAACTGTTGACGGTGAAAATGTCAACAGAAATATAACAAATTTCAAAACGGTTTGCGTAAATTTATTGATCCAAAACACTATTAAGAGTAATTAAAAAGTAAGAACATACAAGAATTATAGTGATTTACCCTTGATTCAAGAGCTACGTCCACTGTAGGGAGGAGATAGATCACTATTTTTCAGAGAGAATTACACACTCTAATTGCTCTAAATGAGACTTCGGCATCTTTCGACCTACATTCCTTTATTTATATTGTTGACCATCGTCCATGCTGCTTTCCGTATTTAATTCGGGGATATTTCCCTCATCTTTTGGGATAATATCCTAAAAGATGGAGATTACAATCAATCGGAACGATTTCATTGCTTAAATTTCATATATTTGAATTACAAATAGTAAATTCCGGAGTAAATCTCGCATATCTCTCGACTTACGTTGACTCGACTTCATAAGCACTCCCAAAACCATCTTCGCCTACAATTGTTGGTGTGGTCGACCTCATGTTGTCCTTTGCATCTCCTCAGAGCGGTCAACCTCTTATATATGCCACATCCTTTATTAGCGGTCTCCTCCTAAGAGAGTTGCTATCCCACGTGGCGGTTAAGGCAGAGCTGTCCTTCATCATTTAATACCATCATTTATGACGCGTGGGCCTTATTCAGTGCCTCATTTAGGGTTCAGAATTTTAGCCTACCACATCTGCCCCCTAGGTTGAGGCTTTCCTCTAGACTCTTCGAGCTCTGACCAAGTAGGGTTTATGCCTTAACTCTCCTTCCCTATGTTTACTTGCTTGCAAAGGACTCTAGCCCTACGCTGTCTAGGCAATGATGGTTCTGACGTAGAAGATGCTTCTTGAGCTGGGCAATAGTCACATCGATCAAATCAACCTGCCAGACGTCACTTCTCTATTTTTAATGCATGAATCTCGGACATTGGATCGCGTCTCTTTAGTTTCCCACTTATGCCCTCATTGTTGGATTAAGACTCTTCATCTCCACCATTGCATGAATAGTTATTTCTTCCAATGGTCTAGGGTCGAGGCTACATTCCATTATAAAGAGCGTTTCGCAACAAGTCTTTTCATTACTTCATTATGAAAAAACCGCCGAGACTCTACAAAAATTCCCATAAAACCTCTAAGTTCTCCCATTTTCGAAGCTTTCTTAAGAATTTCTTTGCCAAATTTCCAGACTTCTTCCATTCTTCAGTTCAACATCTTCCATTTCTGAACTTCTGCTAAGTTTTTCTTCAAAATTCTCTCATTTTATTCTTCTACTTTCGTTGAGTGTAAAACTTCAATGCTTCTGGTTTATACCCATGTTGGCTTGTGATGAAACCTGCATAGCAATAGTTAGAAATAGGAAAATATGAACTAGAAAACTTACCTTTCGCTGTCGTTGCATATTTCTGAACTGGCTTTTTGGGGTTTTAATTGACTATGAGGAATTTTAGATTTTGGGCCCTTATTAAATTTATGGATTTTCAGGCCTTAAGTTTAGATGTAGTCACTTTAGTGTCAACTGTTTGGCTAACATTCCCTTCTCCCCACTCAACCCTTAGGGCTCTAATACTCATTTTTCGCTTTTAGAATTAACTATGGCACCCAAAAAACTTAGTCATCGAGAAGGGTAATCATATGCGTCCCTGGAGAGGCATGAACCATCTTCAGTAGCTGAACCTTTTGGGCATTCTTCTTCAACTAAAGATGACCCTTTACTAAGGGGAAATTGTTGAATACATGAACGACCCTCGAGAGGATATTGATAGCGTCGACCGCATGGTCGAAGGTGATGAAAACGATGAAGAAGATGCGACTGCTATAGTTGGAAGCATCGATCCCTTAGGAAGCGTCTGTCAATACACGGGGGGCATGGTCTTAGGTTACTCTGCATCCCCCTTGGGTGCTGCCTTAGTTACAGTGAGCGGCAATCCTATCAGGCCTTCCTTCTCCGCTGACTCTAAAGCGCCGAGGACTCGAAACCGGGACATTCTGAAGGCATATAAGGATGTACACATTAACGATAGATGATTTGAATACCTTCTTCCAAACGAGAATTTCTGGACAAGCCTTCCCCCTCCCGGTTACCTCTCTGTATACACCAGGTCATTCTCTGCAGGGATGACCCTTCCCATCCATCCATTCGTTAAGGACTTATGTCATCTCCATGGCATTTCCCTTACTAAGCTAGCTCCCAATTTCTAATACTGCTTCATTGGGCTGTGGGTCTTATGGCATCAGTAGTTTGACTTGGAGTTACCGCTTGATGAGTTTTTCTATGTATATAAGCTCTCCCACGTTGCAAATAACGAAATGTACATGTCATTTTTTAGGGAGTCATAGGCGATCCAAACCTATTCTTGGTAAATTAATATAGGGGGTTCCCTCATCAACCCATGCATGGAAACTCATGTTTTTCAAGGTAAAGGGTAGATTTGACCTCCACCCTGTCGATCGTAGACCCTGGCGCTGAGGGGTCCAAACCTTCTTTAGGCGATTAAGTGAGTGCTCTACCGGTACTAGTTGTTGCACGCTCTTCACATTTGCATTCGTCATCATTTTTTTAACCCCTTATCTCCCTCTTATATTTATATTGAGCCTCAAGACTGTCCGAATTATTTGGAATAGGAAGGAGAGAGTTTTGTCAGCTTTCCAACTCCCCAAGAGTCGTCCTCATATTAATGCCTTCCAAGCTGAGGATAAATTTAGGGAGTCGGGTCTTTTGCTATCTCTTCTAGATCCTAAGGACCTCTAAGTAGTCCAAGAATTCTTTAACCTTAGCCTAGAAGGTTCATATTCTTCCGACTGCTTGTCTTGATTTTTTTTTAATTTAACCATCTACTTTGTTTTTGCAGAAATGGCATCATTAAACCTTCAGCTCTCTAATCTTGGTGGACTACTCAGGAAGGAAAAGGTGAAGGGGGGATCTTCCTCCACAGCTAAAAAAAAGACGGCTCCTGGGCCATCAATTGATTATGTTACTGGGACATGGAGGACTAAGAGGCAAAGGAGAGAAGAAGCCTGTGGTGGATGTCTATTTGGTTCCCATTCCTATTCCAGATATTTTGGAGGGTCTTCCTCCTAAAGATCGCTTATTCCTCCCATCAGTGAAGGTTAAAGACTCTTACTTTCCTGTCCCCAACATTATAAATGCCCAGACTAAATCGGTGTTAGACCTTCCTCCTCGATTCTCTCTCGTCTTTTAGGCCTTCTATGAATCATTTTTTGATAGGCTTTGGGTCACCGCTACCAAGTTCCCTCTCCTCGAATGCCAATGAAAGCAGATATCCCACCAGATTCATGTAAGCCTCTACCTTCTTCTCTTTCTATGTCAAGCATCTTCTAATTTCTTAGCTAACTCTTATAGGCCCTTGTTCTCTCTCTCCTTAACCTGATCGACTTAGTCAAAGTCGAAGGTCGAAGCGATGAGATGGACCAAATTGAGGTGAACCTCAAGGCTTTCCTCATCTTGGAAAAACTAACCTCGAAGACTAAGACGAAGGCGACGGATCGAGCCAAAAAGGCTAATGTAGACGAGGCTAAGAAGATGAATGACCTTCTGGAAGAGGTGGAGAAGGTTAAAACCAAGTAGAGGAGGCCAAGGACAAGTATCACACCGAGGGAAAATTGGGGGGATTCGAGATGGGGAAGAGGGAAGCTGTTGGAAAAGTGGTAAAAGAATATCTCGCCTCGGAGGACTTTGGCAAGAATTGCGAGGACATCCGCACTAAGGCTGTCAAGGAATATCTTGCTTCAAATGACTATGGCAAAAG